TGTAAAGCAGGAAATATTCAAATGTTACAGTTTATGAGGAGTATCATATCTCAATGCTCAGTAGGACGTGGCAGAATGAAGCAGTGTGATGTCAGTGTAGAATGCACCCAGCATATTGCATACAGTGAGACTCATTATGTAAGATTTTTCACAAAAAATATTGAATCCCTAAAGGAAATACTAATAGGAATTTCAAAGTACCACACCTGAAAAAATACTTTAAAACATACTTTATTTTACAAACATTAACAAAGTTTAAAATATAAAACCTAACATAGAGGTACTATTTGTGAATACTGCAGTTACAAACTGTGCCAGTAGTTGATAGCCATATTCCCAGATGGTCATAAGGTGTATCTCCAACGCGTTTCAGAAGACAATGCATGCTTCCTACGGGAGAACTGGCATAAATTTCTAAGATGACAAGCAAAACCACAATGAGCATCATAGCGGATCATATACATAGAGTAGTCAATAAAATCTTATACACATATAAATAGACATACTACCTGCTATGAATGCTCAGATTGCATATAACTTGTCCCCAGGATTGAAGAACCATGATTGCTGGATATGAGAGGGACCCAGCCGTACAGGAGACTGGAGACATGTATATTATATTAAAAGGTGCATATATTAGCCATATAGAAAATAAATAATAGGGGAAAAAGGGGAGGGGAAAGATGAATGAACAATATGTACAAAGAAGTGGGATATCCAAATCCAGAAGCCCTACATACATTCTAATCTCATTAAAACTTGGTAAAATGTAATTGAAAGATGCAGAGCACCACAATATATATGTGCCTTTAAATGATGTCTGGCATCTACCAGATCTGGTCAGTTCAAAACTTCATCACTGTATCCTTACATAGTATTCCACTACATCCCGATCCTTCTTACCATGGTGACAAATTATTTTCTAATGTTGTATTTGAGGCAGGAACCTAACCACAGGTCGGATGACCCAAATGTACAGGATGGAAAATCATTGTATGCCGTATTGTGTCATGGGAAACAATCACCCCTGTTTGGCTTTCTACTTCTGTAGCTAACTGCAGTGAACTTTCATGGTGATTTTCTTCAGCCCTTCTCATCAGAAGATGCTCCTTTCAAGGTGTTAACTACCATGGACGGCCTGGACGTCTCTGTGAGATGGTTGCAGTTTCATCTTTGTTACATTTTTGTATCAATTTTGCTACAATATTCTGATGGATTAGTAAACTTTTTGCACTGTAGACCTGCTATAGAAATGCATGAAAATGTGTGAGTTAAAGGACAGGTATGGTCAAAGCTTTTTTCATTCTGTGACCAATTTTCAGCAGACAAGTCTGCTGTCGGCTGACGTCACTTTAAGGTCAGGAACCACTCAGAAGCCTGAACCGGCAGCTGGCTCAGCCTCTCAGCAAGCAGCTGGAGAGTGTGCCAGCCTCTTTCACTCCATGCACAGCTCTGTGCGCCAATGAGCACTGGAGGGGCAGAGCACAGAGCTGGTGAATGACAGTCATATAGTTCTCTGCTCAGAGCAGAGGGTAGAACCGAGCGGTCAGCCATGTATGATCAGTTCACTATGTAGCGGTAGATGCAGCTTTTAATTACATCAAACAACTACAGGCACCTTCATAGTTTATGATTGTGTTCCACTAACAATAATTGTAACAAAATATATAAAGAATATGTTCAGCAAAACCTTTATTTATGTTTTGGATGGAGTTATGAAGATTAGAACCCCTCTTACCCTTAGGCTCCATGTACACTGGCTTAACAATCGCTGCTTCCACAGGAGTTTTGTGTTTTGCCTGTAAAAGCAGCTCAGTGTTATCCTATGTGTCCATGCACAATAGGACAATTAGACGCATATTTTAACCAGTTCCCTATAGCAAAAATACTACTACAGGACGGCATGGGTGCGCAAGATCATGTATGTATATTTAAATATATATATATATATATATATATGTGATTTTGAAATACCGGGCAGGGGTCGCGCGTGCAAGCCATTCGCGGCCTCTGCTGTCAGTCGCCGGCAGCCGGTGATCGCCGAGTGTCTCCGACAGGGGAGAGACCTGTGTATAAACAATACAGATCTCTCCCTGTCAGCTCCTGCACACTGCTTAGCATAGCAGAGTCATACAAAGCAGTGTGCTTATAGTGAAGCACACACACAGCCCAAGTAGTGAAACAGCATACAGTAAACCCATTGATCACCCCAGATGTTAACCCCTTCCTGCCCAGTGCCATTAGTACAGGGTTAGTGCTTTTTATTAGCAGTGATAACTGTATTGGTGTCACTGGGAAAGTCCGTGACACCATGTCAATTCCCCCCAGTATCAGAATGCCCACCACAGTCTCGCAGTCCCACTATAAGTTGCTGATCACCGCCATTACTAGTGAAAAAAAATCCCTGTATATATACTCCCATTTGTAAACGCTATAAATTTCACATAAACCAATTAATTTACATGTATTGGAATTTTTTTTAGCAAAGACATGGAGCAGAATACATTTTGGCCTAAATTTATGAAGAGATTAGATTTTTTTAATTTTTTTACTGGAAATGTTTAATAGCAAAAAGTCAAAAATATTGTTTTTTCTCAATCTTATTGGCCCTTTTTTGTTTATAACGCAAAAAATAAAAAATGCACAGGCGATCAAATACCACTGAAAGAAAGCTGTATTTGGGGGAAAAAAAGGACATAAATTGCATTTGGGTGCAACATTGCATGACGGCGCAATTGTCAGTTAAAGTAACGCAGTGCCGTATCACAAAAAATGGCCTGGTCAGGAAGGGGGGAGGCAAATCCTCTGCAGGGCAAGTGGTTAAATTCAACGCTTAGAGGCAGGAAAAACAACTCTTCTGGTTTGTGTTTTTGATTGGAGCTTTCTGGCAGAAAAAACGCTAAACATTCCTAAACTGTGCAAAAATGCTCTAAATCAGTTTTTTTTCTGCCAAGGGAATTGGCATTTTTTTTTTAAGCTCAGTGTACATGGAGCCTTAGAGAGACTTCCCATAAGTGCAAGTCCTGGTAACAAAGGTTTCACCAGATAGTAAGTGACGGTAATCCTTCAAGAGCAACACTAAAATAAATAGAAACTTTTTAATTTGTAATGGTGTTCTGACCATTTTTTCATATGAATTGTTTCCTACTGTCACCAGAGGTCATGCACCCAACATTTTTGACTGTGTAGGTAAGTGTGTGGGGAGGATTTGGTTACAACTTTTTTTTTTTAATACTTTCTATGTCCCTGTTGTAAAAATGCAATCACTTTGTGCCTGATAAAAACACTGTCACAGGACAGAAAGTGAGGCAAAATCTCTCTAACAAAGCCCTTGATAGAAGCAAAAAGCAGACAAGCGGTTTAATCTTTCCCCATTTTTGATAAAATAGAATATTTCAGCTGGATAAATACTTTAATATATTATAGGTAAGAGATGTTTTATGTTGTTTGTACCTTGCCTTAAATCAAACGACAAAGAGACTGTATAGACTAGCCGTGGTCAGAAAACAAGCACAGTCAGAGAACGAAGGTGGGGTCAGTACACAATGCAGGATTCAGGAGATAGCAACACACAGGAGCTCAGACAACTAGGAAGTTGCTCAGGCAAAGTGTCCTAAACTGAGCATGTCTTATATAGACAAGCAAACAAGGAGGTGGGCCAGGAAGTGATGGAAGGGAAGGAAATAAAACCCACAGAACAGCAGACGATGCCCATAGGTGAGTACAGACAAACACACATGTGAAAGGGATCAGGAACAGCACTGCAGCAAGGAGGTAAATGTAGTGATGTGATAATTTCTTTGTCTATTTTCCAGTGTATACTTATGTTATGCAGTGTTTGTTTTGCCCTTTTCCAATATGGCTGCTATGCTCTTTGGGCACTGAGGATGAAGTCATCAGAGAGAGCACTTGTGGAAAAGAGAGGGGTCTGGATTTCCTGCTGAGAGAGAAAGCTTAGACTGTAAGTGTTGCAGCCTCCCTCATTGAGACATGCAAAAAGAAGACTGTGAATGCTTTAATGTCCCTGTTTGGAAGATACTTTATGTTGGATTGTTCCCTGAATGTGATTTCTTCAATACATGGACCTTCATATACAATGCTGTGTGGATTACTGTCTATGTGGATGATACATTTCTCAGTTGGGATTTCACTTGTTATTCACAAGCCCCAACGATTGTTAGAGATCTTGTCCTGATCACACAGATTATAAAGACTCTGCTCCTAATTACTATACAGGTGGAGCCATCATACCCCATTAGCCATAAAGAGTGTAAAAAATATTGCTACATAAGAATACACAAACCAGAAACTGCAGGCTAACTTGTGACAATTACCTTTTGTACCTCTCAACCCTTCCTCCTACATTGTAAGCTCTAATGTGTCGGGCCCTCTGTTTCCTCTTGTACCAAATGGTATTGTAACTGTAATGTCTACCTTCATTTTGTAAAGCGCTGCACAAACTGTTGGCGCTATATAAATCCTGTATAATAACAATGGAGGAAAGGGAAGATAGCTAAAGAATGTGTGCAGGTGCTCTGCACTGAAATGACTGCTACAGAATGTCGTCCTTGTAAATTGCGCTGTGCGCTGAAGATTCTGATAGTAAGCGAAATGTGATAAGTTGCGGGAATTTATGTGAAGATGTGAAATTGCAAGTGCTGAAAATGCTTTGATGTGTAGATATTCCTTTATTCTAAATATTAGGCCTCTGGCCGCGGATGTCTTGGGTCTGCCTATGGTCAGAAGTCGTGTTTTCAATATGGTGGTTACAAAGGCAGGGGATTAAGTTCTCTATCCAAGAAGAAGTGGAGTGGGACTGTACAACTTGGGAAAACATCTGTCCAATCACAGGTCCCTTTACAAGGTGGCTTGCTCATTTTTTTTAAAGTGTTTTACTTGTAATTTGAAACACAGATTTATTTACAGGGGTGGAACTTAGAGAAATAAACACATGAAATAAAAAAGAGGAAGGAGGTTTTTGTACGGCTCTGTATCATTGTGTGAGAGGGTACTCAATATACTGCTGACAGTAATATCTTCCTTCATCATCTTCACTCGCTTTTTGTATTGTCATTGTGAATTGAGTTCCTGAACCAGATCCACTGAACCTATCTGGAACCCCGGATGCTCGAGTACTGGAGCTATACAAGAGGAGTTTAGGAGGCTGTCCTTCTATCTTTTGGTACCAGGCTATTAACTGAGTTTCTGTTCCAGGGGGAGCTTTTCTGCCGATGTATATTACTTTTGGAGCCTGTACATGAGAAAGACTTTTACTGGATGTACATGTGATGGTGATTGTCTGTCCCGGGGACACAGAGATAGAATCCGAAGTCTGAGTCATCACAATCTCTCCACAGGATCCTGAGGATGGGAAGAGACATATTGATTATCAATAGATTTCATCATAAGAGTTAACAATATATAGCTAAAATCATCTACTTCACAATAAGGCTCTATGTAAGGATCTAGGTTCTGTTTATAATGAACAAAATGCTGAACATTGTTACCCATTCAATAATTGCATAACAAAAATTCATAAGAGCTATTTTCTGATGAAATACATCTTTTTGCCTTTTTGTTTCACAGTTATTATTTTACATATGACAAAATATACATAACATTTCCTCGTACCTTGTATGTAGACATAAAAGACACAGAGTAGATATGTTAGAGGAAGCATCATGATGGGTCTGGTCTGTCACTCACACAGATCATTGATCTTCATGGTAAACTGTTTATATAACATGAAATCTATAGGGAAATAATCTCACTATGTAAAACAGGAAATATTCAAATATCACAGTTTATGGGGAGTATTATATCTCAGTGCTCAGTACAATGTAGCAGAATGAAGCAGTGTGATATCAGAGTAGAATGCATCCAGCACATTACATGCAGTGAGACTCATTATGAAAGTTTTAAAAGATTTTTCCACTTTTGGAGAAACTTCCCCATCCATTATCAGTAGGGATAAGTGAAATTGAGTTTCACATTTTTCCAAGAAAAAAATTGTAGTTTTCAGCAAAAGTTGACTATTTCAGTGAATGCAGTGAAATTTTATTGTGATTTTAAGGGTGCAATAGGAATTAAGTGGCTTCAAGGCATTCAGAAAACTCCTCTCAACTGTCATTCCGCTGTTCTTGTACCAAAAAATACCACGACACAAGTTTCATTATTTTACTTTTATTTTGCAGAGAAAAAATAAAATAAAAATCTTAAGGAGGCAGCTTGCAAATAACAATCAAATACACAAAAAAGGGCAAGTAAACTACAAAATACAGCACGCTAAGGGGTATAGTTAGTAATGGTTTTGCCAAAAATCTGACCACTATTTTTCCTCAATTCTGTGGTGAACATTGACTCTATTGAATGAATACATTTTATTGCAAACAAACACTATATAATGTTAGAACTTTTATGAAAAAATAAAGTATATTTTATCATTTTAAGTTTTGGACTGTATCATACAAGTCATAGTAATGCTTTCATTTTAAGTTTGACCTTTTTTGTCAACTGAAACTGCTGAGGGTCTTAAACAAGCTTGTTTATTTACAGAACTAATCAGGCCGAGACTGGGACAAAAAATAGGCCCGGGCATTTTAGACTGAACAGCAATTTTTTTGGGGGGGAATGCAAGGGTATTCGTGGGGGCAGTTGGGTGATGGAATTGTCACAGAGTTGGTCTTCTGCACTGTAATATAAACTGTATTAATTACAGTGCCCCTTTACAGCGCAGTCCCCTTTATATCACAGTGCCCCTAGAAATCTAATCACAGTACCCCCTATATATATTAAGAGATGGCCCAATCCAGCAAAGAGACATCCTCATCAAGCAAAGAGACATAAGAGACATCCCCATCCAGCAAAGAGACGGAATGTCTCTTTGCTGGACAGGAATGTCTCTGCTGGATAGGGATGTCCTTTCTTGGACTGGGCTGTCTCTTTGCTGGATTGGGATGTCTCTTTACTAAACCCAACTGAGCAAAAGAAAGCCCAGTCCAGCAAAGAGACAACCCGTCCAGCAAAAAGACAACTCAACCATCAAAGAGACAGCCCATCCAGCAAAGAGACAGCCCATCCAGCAAGGAGACAGTCCGTCCAGAAAGGAGACAGCCCATTCAGCAAGGAGACAGCTCTTCCAGCAAAGAGACAGCCATCCACAACTCTGTCCCCAGCTACATCACCATCCTGGTCTCAAAATATCAACCAAACCACTCTCTTCGATCCTCCCAAGACCTTCTGCTCTCTAGTTCTCATGTCACCTCCTCCTAAGCTTGCCTCCAGGACTTCTCTCGAGCTTCTCCCATACTATGGAACTCCCTTCCCCAATCTGTACGGCTATCACCTAATCTATCCAGCTTTAGACGATTCCTGAAAACTTTTCTCTTTAACCACTTGCCTACAGGGTACTTATACCCCCTTACTACCCAGGCCAATTTTAAGCTTTCAGTGCTGTCACACTTTCAATGACAATTCCATGGTCATGCAACACTGTACTCATTTGAAATTTTTATAATTTTTTTTGAGACAGATAGAGCTTTCTTTTGGTGGTATTCAATCACCTCTGAGTTTTTTATTTTTTGCTAAACAAACCAAAAACAACTGAAATTTTTGAAACAAAACAGTTTTTTTTCTTCGTTTTTGTTATAAAATTTTGTAAATAAGTGATTTTCTCCTTCACTGATGTGCACTAATGGGGCTGCAGTGATGGACACTGATAGGCTGCACTGCTAGACGGCACTGATTGGCACTGATGAGGAGGCACTGGTAGGTGGCACTGATGGTCATTGACAGGCATCACCGATGGGCACTGAAAGGCAGCACTCATATATGGCACTGACAGGCGGCACTAACTGGCACTGATAGGTGGCACTGACTGCACTGTTAGGTGGTACTGATAGGCAGCACTGATGGGAACTGATAGGCGGCACTGACTGGCACTGATAGACTGCACTGACTGGCACTGATAGGCGGCACTGACTGGCACTGATAGGCAGTGCTAATTTGCATCACTGCCAGGTGGCACTGACTGGCATTGATAGGTGGCACTGACTGGTACTGGTAGGTGGCACTGAAATGCAGCTCAGATGGTCACTGATATGTGGCATTGATGTGCACTGGTAGGCACTGATACGTGGCTTTGATGTGGCACTGATGGGCACTAGCAGGTGGCATTGATGGACACTGACAGGCGGCACTGCTGGGGCTACACTGATCATCAGGGCACACTGATCATCAGTGCCCTGATGATCAGTGTAGATGTCCCCTCTGAGGAATGCCGATTACCGGCTCTCCTCTCCTCTGTCAGCATGAAAGCTCGTGAGGAGAGAAATGCCAATAACTGGCATTTCCCTATTTACATGCAATCAGCTGTGATTGGACACAGCTGATCACATGACTGAGCCGACATCTTCGGCTCTTTCCATTGATCGGTGATCCGCTGTGTCGGAGGGACACAGGGCACCACCAATCGCCGTGCTGCGCGTTCCCGGAGCCACGCACGCACGGTTTGAGTGGGAGGACGTCATATGATGTCCTCCCAGAACGAGAACCACCTTGCGCCCATCATTTCCTTATATGGTGGGTTGGGGGCGGCTAAAGAAGCCTATCCTGCTTCTAACTAGAAACTTCCTTTTATTTCCTCCATCAGCTCATCCCCCCCACAGCTATTACCTCTTGTATCTGTGGTGGTTTATGTAAGAATTTTATTCTACTTATGAAGGGCGGCGTCCCTTTCCCTTAAACAAAATATCGCAGTGCCTCCAGCCGTTAAGATACGGCAAATATTTAATGAACCAATAATTTGGACACCTTAATAATTTGATCACCACTTAATATTATACCTTGAGTCCTTTTAGCCAGTATGATTTCGTACCATATACACAAAAATTGCCTTTATAATAAATAAATAGATAAATTTATTTATGTACAAAAATTATATATATATTAACACAAACCGCAAAAGACTGGTGATGAATGGATACTGGTACACACGATCAAAAATATAATATACCAATACTATACACCAAACAATTCTAATAATGATAATAAAGATTAAGATCAAATTTAGTAATAAATGGTAATTTAGAGTACTTCAGAGGTCATTTCTCCCAAAACGTGGCCATAGAAATGGGAGAAAATATTCCCTGATAAATTGTACTATAACCAATAAAAATTAATTAATTATGCAATATGTAGATTTTCAATATGACACCAAACAATTCTTTAGCAGTAATAATATGGATCTCTCTATCTATATATAAACACCCAATGCAGTTATCACCCCAATGCAATTATTATTATCACTCTATACAAGAGAGGAGATATACAATACAATATTAATTCTAAACAGTCTCACCACACCCAGAACCTGGATTATGACGCCTCCCCAGTGGATTCAGCTGGCAATTGAAATGCCTTCAGGAATGGCCGCAGGGAGCAAGTGAGAGATAGTGCAAGAGGTGGTAGTGTTGAAAAAATGTAGGATGGTAGAAGTTCAGAGATTTAGATGTTTAGTAGAAGTTTTTAAAAGTTTGAAAGGATTAAGTAGTAGTTCTTCAGATGGGATAGATTTCAGCCTCGTCAGATTTCTTCAGCTTTTCAGATCTCCTTGGTTTTTCTGTAGCTTTTCTTATTTTTCTTAGTATGAGTTTTTCAGCTTGTTTTTTAGCTTGTCTTTTTTTTTTTAAATGAGGTGCATGGCTTTTTTATACCATCCAAACCATTGTTTAAAAGACCCTCCCAACAGGCTTTTTGATTGGCCGGTTGAGAAGTGTATGTACCTAGGATATCTCTCACCTGTCCACTGGGGGGCAGTCAGGGATCACAAAACAATTTGAGTATTAATGATGACTCATGCCTGGGTTGGAAACCAAGGTGATTTTAGGTATTTAATTATATGTCTTATCCAAATATTTTTTGATTCTACCTCTAATGTTCTGGATAGGAACCATAGAAAGATATATATGTGTATTCAGTTATTCATTTCCCTGAGGTTCAAACTTGTGTGAAAACATTTGCTTTCTGATGGAAACATACAACTGATACCAATTCACAAAATATCTTACTTTTCACCATTTCATACTTAATTTAGTGGTATGCAATCCCCAACTCTGCTGAGTATATTTTTGTTTGAAAAAGAGTGTGAATAATATGTCTCTTCTTTAATGTCTTTGTGGGTAGAAATATATGTTCTAAGTTTCACCTTTTGGTTTTAGGAATGACAACCTCTGTTTACCTGTCCATTGTTAAGATAATAGGGTAAACAACCAGTTATACTTGTAGCCTTCCTTTGAGAAGTTGTTGGCTTATCACTCTCCCCAAGGTTTTGTTTAATCTTCTCAGACTTACAAGTATCGTCTCACCATTGTTAATTTGGTCAGGTGTGGTGACTCACTGTTTGGAAGTCCAACTTTGTATTTGACTTTATAATTTACTTTTTGTAGGTGGAATCTCCTCATTTCCAACAGACAATGGCAATTTGTTGAGAAAACATACTTTGCCAGTCTTAGAGTCACCGACATCAGCTCTCACGATTGTCTGTCTTGGGCCCTGTTTAACTACCTGTAGAAATTCAAATAACCTATTGTCTCTGGAACAGGTTCCTTCCACTCATTGTGGGTGTAATTTCACTAGAAGGTCATTTGAATTCTAACCAAGAAAGGTTAACCCTTAACAGACGGCTGGGCTTGTTGCTGTTGGAATGAAATCATCTCTTTTTAATAAATGGTCCCCCAAAAGTCACTACATATCATTTCAACCCTTCCTCCTAGATTGTAAGCTCTAATGAGCAGGGCCCTCTGTTTCCTCTTGTACCAAATTGTATTGTAATTGTAATGTCTACCTTCATTTTGTAAAGCGCTGCGCAAATTGTTGGCACTATATAAATCCTGTATTATAATAATAATAAATAATAATGGAGGAGGAAAGGGAAGATAGCTAAAGAACGTGTGCAGGTGCTCTGCACTGAAATGACTGCTACAGAATGTCATCCTTGTAAATTGCGCTGTGCGCTGAAGATTCTGATAGTAAGCGAAATGTGATAAGTTGCGGGAATTTTTATGTGAAGATGTGAAATTGCAAGTGCTGAAAATGCTTTGATGTGTAGATATTTCTTTATTCTGAATATTAGGCCTCTGGCCGCGGATGTCTTGGGTCTGCCTATGGTCAGAAGTCGTGTTTTCAATATGGTCGTTACAAAGGCAGGGGATTAAGTTCTCTATCCGAGAAGAAGTGGAGTGGGACTGTACAACTTGGGGCAAACATCTGTCCAATCACAGGTCCCTTTACAAGGTGGCTTGCTCATTTTTTTTAAAGTGTTTTACTTGTAATTTGAAACAGATTTATTTACAGGGGGGAACTTAGAGAAATAAACACATGAAATAAAAAAGAGGAAGGAGGTTTTTGTACAGCTCTGTATCACTGTGTGAGAGGGTACTCAATATACTGCTGACAGTAATATCTTCCTTCATCATCTTCACTCACTTTTTGTATTGTCATTGTGAATTGAGTTCCTGAACCAGATCCACTGAACCAATCTGGAACCCCGGATGCTCGAGTACTGGAGCTATACAAGAGGAGTTTAGGAGGCTGTCCTTCTATCTTTTGGTACCAGGCTAAACTGAGTTTCTGTTCTAGGGGGAACTTTTATGTGGACGAATATTGTTTTTGGAGCCTGTACATGAGAAAGACTTTTATTGGATGTACATGTGATGGTGATTGTCTGTCCCGGGGACACAGAGATAGAATCCGGAGTCTGAGTCATCACAATCTCTCCACAGGATCCTGAGGATGGGAAGAGACATATTGATTATCAATAGATTTCATCATAAGAGTTAACAATATATAGCTAAAATCATCTACTTCACAATAAGGCTCTATGTAAGGATCTAGGTTCTGTTTATAATGAACAAAATGCTGAACATTGTTACCCATTCAATAATTGCTTAACAAAAATTCCTAAGAGCTATTTTCTGATGAAATACGTCTCTGCCTTTTTGTTTCATAGTTATTATTTTACATATGACAAAATATACATAACATTTCCTCGTACCTTGTATGTAGACATAAAAGACACAGAGTAGATATGTCAGAGGAAGCATCATGATGGGTCTGGTCTGTCGCTCACACAGATCATTGATCTTCATGGTAAACTGTTTATATAACATGAAATCTATAGGGAAATAATCTCAGTCTCACTATGTAAAGCAGGAAATATTCAAATATTACAGTTTATGGGGAGTATTATATCTCAGTGCTCAGTATAATGTGGCAGAATGGAGCAGTGTGATATCAGAGTAGAATGCACCCAGCACATTACATGCAGTGAGACTCGTTATGAAAGTTTTAAAAGATTTTTCCACTTTTGGAGAAACTTCCCTATCCATTATCAGTAGGGATAAGTGAAATTGAGTTTCACATATTTCCAAGAAAAAAAAATTTTAGTTTTCAGCAAAAGTTGACTATTTCAATGAATGCATTGAAATTTTATGTTGATTTTAAGGGTGCAATAGGAATTACGTTAATTACAAAAAACCTCCTGCGCTCACAAGGACTCCTACCCTATAACCATAAGCTGCTGACACTAAGCTTATACCCAAAATAAGTGAATAAACAGTGCAAAAATTATGAGTGCAGCGCTAATTAGTATCTAATAGAACCGTAATAAATATATACTCAATCCCCAAAATAAATCCAAAATACTCAATACATATACAGTGTCATGCATGTATTCCCTCATGGGGAATATCTCGTGCAAAAACGTGAAAATAAAGTAATATATACTATAATAACATATATACTAATAATAAACAGTGCCACACAAAAAGTGCACAAAGAAATAAACGATAGTTCAAATACGAGAAAAGTCCAAAGTTAATAATAATAATACTGATGATGCTGTGCTTAATGATGAACTTCACACTCCACTCTTCATGCAAAATTATGTGCAGTGTACGTGATGCACACGTGCCAATCCTTAACAGCCAAAATGCCCCCTCACCTCCTTCCTTAGACCCCAAGGGGCCAGCACGCTTTCAGGATCACACGATCCTATCAGTATGGATCACTCTCTAGAAAATATCTTCCTCCTCCAGCGTCCACCAGTTTAGCAGCCAGCTCCTCCCAGGGTCATAGTAAGACACAAGCAGAGACCCTCCATAGTGCAACCAGTAATTTTATTGGTAATAGGTATAAAAAGTAGATTTCCACTCACAAAACGATGAATCTTCCAGCCTCCTACCACATGCTATGGGTGTACTGCATGGGTAATACACAGGGTGTTCCAATATGGCCCCCACGCCGGAAATGACGTCACCGCGATTACCGGAAGCTCCTCCCCACGTACCGACTAGTTGCGTCACGCCCACTTCGTGACTTCATCAGGGCCTGGGGGCCATATTGGAACACCCTGTGTATTACCCATGCAGTACACCCATAGCATGTGGTAGGAGGCTGGAAGATTCATCGTTTTGTGAGTGTGGAATCTACTTTTTATACCTATTACCAATAAAATTACTGGTTGCACTATGGAGGGTCTCTGCTTGTGTCTTACTATGACCCTGGGAGGAGCTGGCTGCTAAACTGGTGGACGCTGGAGGAGGAAGATATTTTCTAGAGAGTGATCCATACTGATAGGATCGTGTGATCCTGAAAGCGTGCTGGCCCCTTGGGGTCTAAGGAAGGAGGTGAGGGGGCATTTTGGCTGTTAAGGATTGGCACGTGTGCATCACGTACACTGCACATAATTTTGCATGAAGAGTGGAGTGTGAAGTTCATCATTAAGCACAGCATCATCAGTATTATTATTATTAACTTTGGACTTTTCTCGTATTTGAACTATCGTTTATTTCTTTGTGCACTTTTTGTGTGGCACTGTTTATTATTAGTATATATGTTATTATAGTATATATTACTTTATTTTCACGTTTTTGCACGAGATATTCCCCATGAGGGAATACATGCATGACACTGTATATGTATTGAGTATTTTGGATTTATTTTGGGGATTGAGTATATATTTATTACGGTTCTATTAGATACTAATTAGCGCTGCACTCATAATTTTTGCACAATAGGAATTAAGTGGCTTCAGGCATTCAGAAAACTCCTCTCAACTGTCATTCCGCTGTTCTTGTACCAAAAAATACTGCGACACAAGTCTCATTATCTTTTTTTTCTCTACAAAATAAAAGTAACACAATAAAAATAAAAATCTTAAGGAGGCAGCTTGCAAATAACAATCAAATACACAAAAAAGGGCAAGGAAACTACAAAATACAGCACACTAAGGGGTATAGTTAGTAATGGTTTTGCCAAAAATAGGACCACTATTTGTCCACAATTCTGTGGTGAACATTGACTCTGTATTGAATGAATGAATTTTATTGCAAACAAACACTATATAATGTCAGAACGTTTATGAAAAAATAAGGTATATTTTATCATTTTAAGTTTTGGACTGTATCATACAAGTCAGAGTAATGCTTTCATTTTAGGTTTGACCTTCCCATCCCAGAAACTCTGTTTTTGTCAACTGAAACTGCTGAGGGTCTTAAACAAGCTTGTTTATTTACAGAACTAATCAGGCCCGGACTGGGACAAAAAATAGGCCCGGGCATTTTAGACTGAACAGACAATTTGTGGGGGGGGGGGGGGCAAGGGCATTCACAGGGGGCAGTTGGTTATGGAATATTCACAGAGTTGGTCCGCCGCGCTGTAATATAAACTTTATTGATTACAGTGCCCCTTTACAGCGCAGTCCCCTTTATATCACAGTGCCCCTAGAAATATAATCACACTGCCCCCTATATATTCAAAGATATGGCCCAATCCAGCAAAAAGACATCCCCATCCAGCAAAGAGACATCCCAATCCACAAAGAGACGGGATGTCTCTTTGCTGGACAGGAATGTCTCTGCTGGATGGGGATGTCCCTTCTTGGACTGGGCTGTCTCTTTTCTGGATTGGGATATCTCTTTGCAGGACCCAACTGAGCAAAGACACAGCCCGTCCAGCAAAGACACAGCAAAGACACAGCCCGTCCAGCAAAGACACAGCCCAATCCACCGCTGCTACAGATCTGTCACAGTGTGCCCGCCAGTGAAGGAGAGAGGCCGCCGTTGTCCCTTCAGTGCAGCTGTGTGCAGAGGCCGGCCAAGGTGTGCCAAATGCCTGGTGTGCCCTATGGGAGATACACTTCTGATTGTTCTCCATATAGTATCTGTTTGACAAATCTTGGACCTAGCAAACACAGGACATCTCTCAGTGCAGGAACCATGGGTTTCTAGCATATTCACTGCACCTGAACTGACCAATATTTACAAGTATTTTCAGGTACCATAAATGTAAAGTTTGAAGACACCTGGTGTGACCAAGTAGACTTGTAGCCGCAACCCATTACCAGCCTGGTTATGCAATGACTCCAAACGGTCTCAGCTTTGGGAAAGGTAAACAATAGACAAATATCTCTCATTAAAGGAGTCTCTATGGGAAGTTATACAGATAAATTTTGAAACTATTTATATGTTCAAACTATCCATATAACATAAGCCAATTCCAAGGATTATCTATTGCAAGTCATAAGGCCAAGACTTTCATGACAGTGTGGATATAGTGAATATCTATCGATTCTTGGACATAACCATTATAAGTATCATGGATATATTTATAAGTTTAACCACTTGCCGCCCAGCCACTGTAGAAATACGGCGGCACGGGCAGGCAAAACCACATTTTAAAATGTGTGTTTTGTAAACAGGTAGGGGGCATGCACGAGGCGCGCCGCCGCCCTACCTGTCCCGCCGATCACAGCCACGGATGTCAGTCGCCGGGTCACAGCCGGTCCTTACCGGCTATCTCCCGGCGATAGGCGGCAATCAGTGACAGAGAGCACAGCTGCAGTAGCTGTGCTTTCTGTCACTTCCCTGACAGCCCGAGGACAAGCTGATCAGGACAGAAGAGTTTCACTCTCCCGATCAGCTGTGTCCCCTGCAGTACACACCCCCACCCCCCTAGTAAAACACTCCCTCTCACACAGATAACCCTTCCCTGCAAAATAAACATAACCCCCTTCCTCCCAGTGCCATTAGTACAGTGTCAGTGTTTTTTTTTTTTTTTTGCACTGATCACTGTATTGGTGTCACTGGGGATGTCAGTGACCCCAAGTCAGTACCCCCCCAGTGTCAGAATGTCCGCCGCAGTCCTGCCATAAGTCGCCGATCGCCGCCATAAGTCCCTGATTGCCGCCATAAGTCGCTGATCGCCGCCATTATTAGTATAAAAAAAAACTAAAAATCCCAGTATCTTTCCCGTCATTTGTAAACGCTATAACTTTCACGTAAACCAATTAATTTACATGTATTGGGGTTTTTTTTTTTTTAGCAAAGACATGTCGCAGAATGCATTTTGGCAGAAATTTACGACTAAATTTGATTTTTAAATTTTTTTTTACTGGACATGTTTTTTATAGCAAAAAGTCCAAAATATTGTTTTTTTTTTTTCCTCAAAATTGTCAGACTTTTTTTTTATAGCGCAAAAAATAAAAACCGCACAGGCGATCAAATACCACCGAAAGAAAGCTCAATTTGTGGGGAAAAAAAGGATGTAAATTTCATTTATGTACTGTATTGCATGACCGCGCAATTGTCCGTTAAACTAGCGCAGTGCTGTATAGCAAAAAAATGGCGTAAATTGCAGTATCTATACCATAGTTTGTAGACGCTATAACTTTCACACAAAGCAATCAATATACACTTATTGGGATTTTTTTTTTACCAAAAACATGTAGCAGAATACATTTTGGCCTAAATTTATAACCAACTTTGAGTTTACTATATATTTTTTATAGCTGAAAGTAAAAAATATTGTTTTTCTTCAAAATTTTTGGCATTTTTTTGTTTATAGAGTGAAAAATAAAAAGCGCACAGGTGATCAAATACCACCGAAAGAAAGCTCTATTTGTGTGAAAAAAAGGATGTAAATTTCGTTTGGGGTGCAGCATTGCATGACCGCGCAATTATCAGTTGAATTAGTGCAGCGCCGAGTAGCAAAAAGAGGCCTGGTCATTAAGGGGGGGTAAATCCTCTGGAGGTCAAGTGGTTGAATTATAACACAATGA